TGAAATGTTTAATATTAATTAAATGATGCAGTTTTGTAATAGAATGTTTATATGGTAGAATCTCGTTTTAACTGATTGCTCATGCTGCTGAGAATCTGTTATATTGCAAATAGATTTCCCACACACCCAGGAAAATATGTTATTCAACCTCCTATATATAAAAAATACCTGTTATTCAGATCTCTATTCTTTACCCCATAGAAACATGTATGTTACAAGATCATATATTATGCCATAAGAATGTACAACAAAGCTGGCAGAAACTGTATATACTGTAAGCACAAGTAAATTATAGTAGAGCGTCTGTTATCCGAAAGCATTCGTCGACAAATTTAAATTTTCGCTAGTGCTGTGGCATTGCAATCTTTGGCTATATCTTGGGCTGCTACAATATTTTTTTTGTTGGTGTGTGTGTGTTTTAGCTAGCAGCACTGGCACTTTTGTGTGGTGTTTTTCTGAGGATTGTGTGTAATGCTGAATCAAACGTTTTTGATACTAGATCAACTTCTAAAGTATATTTTTTTTTGGTTTTTTTCAATAAATTTATTTTGTTTGTACAAAATAAAATAATAATTTTTAACGATACAATAACCACGATTATTTTAAAAAGTTTTCATTAGGCTTAACATTGACGAAAATTCAATGCAAAGCGACACGAAACGGAGAAAATTTTCAATGGTGGGATAGATTAGTATATTTTTTCGTACATAATCGATTATCCGAACAACCCCAGTCCCCAATTAATTCGGATAAACGATGCTCTACTGTACATATTTTAATTAACACTTCATTTGACATCACAATTTTGTTAAAAAAAATGCATCTGTGTTGGTGTATTTTGATGCTGCTTTTCTGCCTATTGAATACAACTTCTTGATATTAGTAATGTCACATACAGCCTGTTTGTGCTGAAGCTCATCAGAAAGGTCTTCATGAATTGGAAAGACTTGATGGCATCACTAAATTTCGGACCAGCATCAGAATGTTTACTACTCTGTCCTTCTCAGTCTGCTGACTCTGTACATCATCAAATTCCCAGAAGCACCCCAAATATTAGAAAAAAAAAAAGTTTTCAATAGATGGGGCTAGAAAAATCCTTTATTCTGAGTTATGGATCCACTAATAGGAGGTAAAATTACATTGATTTGGTGAGACCTGGGAAAATCCATTGTCCATTGTTCTGCAATCTTCTAAAACGAGATTGTACTGTAATTGCTTTCAGAAGTCCAATTAATAGTCAANGGGAGTTCTTCGACAGATCCGAAGCGTCAAACTCCACACAGTTTTCCTCCTGATGACCAACGCCCTTAAACGAGTCCCATAGACTAAGTCCCGAGTCTGAACTTAGTAAATATACTTTTATATTTGTGCACATATTGATCTCCCATCGAAGAAGTACATGAACTTATCTACAAGGTGTCCCTTACCTACCAAATAAGAAGACGAACGTCAACTAACCCAGGTTGTATGTTTTATAACGTTTTTGTGAGCTCTCTCTCTCGATCGCGCATTCGGTATAATAGAAGTATAGCTATCTCTCGATTTGCATGTTAATGGTGGAAATTCTTTCTCTCGTTCATTGAGATTTTTGTATGATTTATTTTCTTGTTATATTAAATTTATTATTTCGTTTTTAATTGGGATGTTTCTTTATTCTGTGACGAATCAGATCTCATACGCGTGTTTGTCCACGGAATTTAATTGACAAACTGATGTCAATCCTGACGAGCATCTGAACTTCGCAGTTCGGATCAATTTTGATAACGCTCTCCTATTAAAGTTAGAGAATTGGTCTTACCGACTAGTGCCCGTAAGTGGCGTAGATTGAGATCTACGTCCTTGGCTACTCTCACAAAAGTGATTAAAATGTAATTTGTCTTTAAACTGTTCCTGTTTATAATAATAAATCAACAAGTACCCTCCACTTGCTCATGAAATAAGACAACTGTGGAGTTAGGATAGGGTGCTTATTGTGCCTATTGTCCTCTCTTCCTTTGGTCTACACTATGCAAAGTCCAGAAATGTTAAACCTCAACAATAACATACACATGATACTACAGAAAACTACAATATTGAACGTCACATTGTTAGGAAGTTATTAGATATGGACATATACCAATAACACAGAAGCTGAATGTTACGCTTGTTTATGTAGCTATGCTTTGACTTTAGTCTGTCATGGCACTTGCACTGATATCAACTGAGTGAGACATTTGCAACATAATAATAATAATAATAATAATGTTGGTTTATTTATAAACAATTTATAGAGTTTTTCAGGACAGATATGTCTAAATTAATACAGTGGATCTCAACCTGTGTTTTGCAAACTTGCTGAGTGTTCCACAAAAAAACAAAAATATTTTAAAGTTTTTATTGCAAATTTATTCCAACATATTACTTTATTCATAGACGATTTCATATTTGCTAATGCTTTATATAATAACAGGTATATAAATGGTGTTGTGCAACTTCAGAAAGGTTGAGAACTACTGGTGTAATGCAATAAAAATAATTAAAATTAACTAATATGATTAATTTTAATTATTTCCACTTTGTTAGATATATTTTAATTGAAAAACATCAGGATCATTTTAGGAAATAAAGGAGAGATTATTATATTAATTTTTATGTAAATTGCTTTTGTTTAGCTAATGCTTGGAAGCAAACTAATTATTACATGTACTAGTTATCTGTTTTTAATTATAGCACAGTTGTGATTTACCTGCAAGATTGTCTGCAAATTAAAACCAATTGTTGCATAGAAATACATTAAAATTGGGAGATAATTTTATAAATGCATAAATAATCACTAACATAACAAATTTTCTGTTTGTTTGATTTAGATAAGTTAAATTTAAGAGGAATTTATTTATAATTATCATAAATAAGAAATAGTTAAATCATATTTGTGAATTAAATTTACAATTGAAATAAATTTACATATAATAATATGAAGAAATTACTTTCAGTTGAATTACTTGTATAGTATAGAATGCATTTAGTTGCCACTTGGTTATGAATATTTGAATATTGATTAATTCATTTTACAAACACAAAATTAAAGTATAAAATATCTTAATTTCATAAAATTTTTATATTTAAACATATGTATTTTTATTTCATTAATGATTTAAATATTTTGTTTCAGAATAAAAAAGCTAAAGTCAGTCTGTTTCATTGCATTGACAAACGTAACATGCTGCTGAGACTATTGAGGCAGTGGGACTACAGACGTTTCGAATGGTTACTTCACGAGTTAAAGATTACTTACAGAGAACCTAAAGATGGAAAGCAAGAGAAAATATCTAGAAAAGGCGAGCTTCGGAGACTAACTCGCGAACATTGCGAGAAAGTAAAAAATGAGAAATTGCAAAAATATCACGAGAAATTAAAAGAACAACAAGAAGCATTCTTAAAAGAAAAAGAAGATACATTGAAGTGGATTGCAGAAGAAGAGAAAAGTCTTGGTTTAATTGAAACTAAAAGTTAGATTATTAAAACGTATTAATAAAAAATGTATATAGCAATATGTTATTAAAATATCTTTATTGTTGCTGTCATTTTGGAAATTTCTTATAAGATAAAATTTTAATGTTTGCAGCTAAAGTATGCATTAGTATTAAAATTTTTATTAGAATATTTGAATAATTGCAAAATTTCTGAAATTTATTGTGATGATAAATCTTAACACACAATACATTGTATTAGTGAAGAAAAGTAGGAATATCCAGAATTTATTTTAGAATATTAAGTGTTTATGCTATCTCACACAATTGTTCTGTTGGGTTTTTCACACTAATAAATTCTTAGTAAATTGTGTCAATCAGTAATATATACATTTAAATTACATTATGTTAAAGTGTATTTTATTGATTAATAAATTCCTCAGTGTAATGAGCCCTACAGAACGATTGTATGTGATAGCAAATAATGTAATACTAAAATTCAAATGTGTCCAAAGTTCAATTTCTGCAATTTCACTACAAAATTCTAAAATAACTATTATTATTAGTGCTTCTTGCCTTTTAATTAAAAAAAAAAATTAAAAGGCAAGAAGCACTAATAATAATAGTTATTTTAGAATTTTGTAGTGAAATTGCAGAAATTGAACTTTGGACACATTTGAATTTTAGTATTACATTATTTGCTATCACATACAATCATTCTGTAGGGCTCATTACACTGAGGAATTTATTAATCAATAAAATACACTTTAACATAATGTAATTTAAATGTATATATTACTGATTGACACAATTTACTAAGAATTTATTAGTGTGAAAAACCCAACAGAACAATTGTGTGAGATAGCATAAACACTTAATATTCTAAAATAAATTCTGGATATTCCTACTTTTCTTCACTAATACAATGTATTGTGTGTTAAGATTTATCATCACAATAAATTTCAGAAATTTTGCAATTATTCAAATATTCTAATAAAAATTTTAATACTAATGCATACTTTAGCTGCAAACATTAAAATTTTATCTTATAAGAAATTTCCAAAATGACAGCAACAATAAAGATATTTTAATAACATATTGCTATATACATTTTTTATTAATACGTTTTAATAATCTAACTTTTAGTTTCAATTAAACCAAGACTTTTCTCTTCTTCTGCAATCCACTTCAATGTATCTTCTTTTTCTTTTAAGAATGCTTCTTGTTGTTCTTTTAATTTCTCGTGATATTTTTGCAATTTCTCATTTTTTACTTTCTCGCAATGTTCGCGAGTTAGTCTCCGAAGCTCGCCTTTCCCCCCAAATATTAGAAAAAAAAAAAGTTTTCAATAGATGGGGCTAGAAAAATCCTTTATTCTGAGTTATGGATCCACTAATAGGAGGTAAAATTACATTGATTTGGTGAGACCTGGGAAAATCCATTGTCCATTGTTCTGCAATCTTCTAAAACGAGATTGTACTGTAATTGCTTTCAGAAGTCCAATTAATAGTCAAATCCATATCTGTCATCATTTATAGTTACCAAAATACACTTATTCACTGACTTTTTATAGATGAATTTTAGAGAAAAACACTTTGCAATATGATTTTTTTAAATAATTTACTTAATACATAATTTGTGTTACTTATTTTTGTCTGTGTGGATAACGTAAAATGAAGTTTGGTATTTGGAATGTTATAGATTTTTCAAAAACAAATTTTATTTTGTGTAATTTGAATTTTTATGAGGACGTTTTGAAATGTAAACGAATAGCAGACATTGGTGTGTTGTTTAAATCATTTGTATTTGCTGCTAGTTCCAATAATGCTGTTCCTCCAGTTTTAATTAATTCATTCCACATAATTGTGATTATAAAAATTCTGCATTGTTACACTTTCACTAACACACAAAAACATTGCTGTATTGGAGTCAAAGAAGAATTCTATATGAATTCTCTAATACTTTTGGACCTCAAAGTCTAACATCAGTGGATTTATCATCTTAGAGGTCTAGTAAAAACCCAAATAGTAGTGTTTGAAATTTGAAGTGTTAATGAATGCTCTAATTTTACTTTACCTCAGTTTTCTACCTTTTATATTGTTTTTTTTTTTCTAATTTTCAATTCTCATTAATCACTGTATGCAAAGTATTGATACTGTTTATTCTGTAAATAATTGAAAGTATGACTCAGTTGTAAATTTTGTTATAATTTATAATATTGAAGAAATCCAATTTCTAAACAGTTTGTATTTTTTGAGGGAAAAAGTACAGTTAATATCTTAATTGTATAATTGTTAAGATGTTATTCAACTCTGATTTAACATAGAGACGATTTGTCATCAAAATAAACATTCCAATTGTTCTAAAGTTGTTATTTTCTTGAGTAATGTTTCAGAAATTAATAAATATTTGTTAAAACAAAAAAAAAAAAAATATCCATACAGCTGATGTGAGTGAATAAAGGATAGAATGTAGACATTTAAAAAAAATTTTAAAAAAACAGCTTATAACAATGTATTGCTAAACAATATATTTTGTTAACACACACATCTTGGGTATGGAACCATAAATAACAATTTTAGCTTTTCAATAATAGAAAGAGTATTCCTATTATATTAAACACAATTTGGAACAATAAGCAGATATGTAAAATTCCAATGATTATATAAATGTTAGTAGTAATATATCATTTATTCCTGCTTGAAGTGTCAAGAAAAATTAATGCTTTTAATTCATAATTGAATGAATAAAAAACAAAAAATTTTTAAAAATACTTAAAGAATTTGTGGATTCAGTGGTGGGGTTTTTGTACTTTGAGAAGTGCACAAACTAAGTTTAGGTAAAAACCTCTAAAAATATATACTATCATTTCCAGAAGCACCCCAAATATTAGAAAAAAATATATACTATCATTTGCATAATTTTAAACAGTTTGTTTCAATGAAACAAATTGTGCCACATAAAAAATATAATTTGATGGAAGCATCTGAATGAATTTTGATTTATCATCATAAAATATACTAAAATTCAAATGTGTCCAAAGTTCAATTTCTGCAATTTCACTACAAAATTCTAAAATAACTATTATTATTAGTGCTTCTTGCCTTTTAATTAAAAAAAAAAATTAAAAGGCAAGAAGCACTAATAATAATAGTTATTTTAGAATTTTGTAGTGAAATTGCAGAAATTGAACTTTGGACACATTTGAATTTTAGTATATTTTATGATGATAAATCAAAATTCATTCAGATGCTTCCATCAAATTATATTTTTTATGTGGCACAATTTGTTTCATTGAAACAAACTGTTTAAAATTATGCAAATGATAGTATATATTTTTTTCTAATATTTGGGGTGCTTCTGGAAATGATAGTATATATTTTTAGAGGTTTTTACCTAAACTTAGTTTGTGCACTTCTCAAAGTACAAAAACCCCACCACTGAATCCACAAATTCTTTAAGTATTTTTAAAAATTTTTTGTTTTTTATTCATTCAATTATGAATTAAAAGCATTAATTTTTCTTGACACTTCAAGCAGGAATAAATGATATATTACTACTAACATTTATATAATCATTGGAATTTTACATATCTGCTTATTGTTCCAAATTGTGTTTAATATAATAGGAATACTCTTTCTATTATTGAAAAGCTAAAATTGTTATTTATGGTTCCATACCCAAGATGTGTGTGTTAACAAAATATATTGTTTAGCAATACATTGTTATAAGCTGTTTTTTTAAAATTTTTTTNATTAAATTCCGCGGACAAACACGCGTATGAGATCTGATTCGTCACAGAATAAAGAAACATCCCAATTAAAAACGAAATAATAAATTTAATATAACAAGAAAATAAATCATACAAAAATCTCAATGAACGAGAGAAAGAATTTCCACAATTAACATGCAAATCGAGAGATAGCTATACTTCTATTATACCGAATGCGCGATCGAGAGAGAGAGCTCACAAAAACGTTATAAAACATACAACCTGGGTTAGTTGACGTTCGTCTTCTTATTCGGTAGGTAAGGGACACCTTGTAGATAAGTTCATGTACTTCTTCGATGGGAGATCAATATGTGCACAAATATAAAAGTATATTTACTAAGTTCAGACTCGGGACTTAGTCTATGGGACTCGTTTAAGGGCGTTGGTCATCATGAGGAAAACTGTGTGGAGTTTGACGCCTCAGATCTGTCGAAGAACTCCGTCGCTGAACTCCTCGAATTCGGGCTAATTTCCCTTATATCTTCAGATTTTCGACCAATCATCTGCTTGAAATTCATTCATGTGAACAGATGAAAAGGGGAATCAAAGAGGGGTAGATAGTTCCCATCTGAGTGAGATTTTTAACGGATAAGGGAAAAACAGAGGATGTACGGACTTCCCTTAAAGGAAGTACCATCTGTTATCTATCTTTTCCCACGTTCAAAACACTAGTTTTTCACAAAAATGAACTAATATTTTGTGTCGATATTTTAACATTAT